CTGTGATGCTGACTGGGCGGCGTGCCCTTTATCTCGTCGTTCGCTAAGCTCTTATGTTGCGCTTCTTGGTGATTCTCCCATCTCTTGGAAGGTCAAGAAGCAAGATACTGTCTCACATTCTACGGCTGAGGCAGAATATAGATCTATGGCTGCAGCTCTACGTGAAGTGAAATGGCTCACTCGTCTTCTCGTTGATTTGGGTGTACCATCTTCCGCGCCGGTTCGTTTTGTTTGTGACAGTCAAGCCGCTTTGCATATAGCTCGGAATCCTGTCTTTCATGAGCGAACGAAACATATTGAAGCTGACTGTCACAGTGTTCGAGATGCAGCACAGGCTGGACTTATTTCTTTGGTGCATGTTCGTACGAATGAGCAGTTAGCAGACATTCTTACCAAGGAATTGTGTCGTCCGCAGTTCGAGTTACTAGCTTCCAAGTTAGGTGTTCTGAATCTCCACACTCCAACTTGAGGGGGAGTATTAACAATATTGGGCTAGTTAGTTTGTATTGGGCTTATGTCGGCTATATATCTTGGCTGTCAAGCTAAAGTAGGGTTTTCATATTACTGTATATATATATTGTATTGATCGATTGTTAATAAGACACACAAACATATTCAATGCATCTATAGCTTTACAATTCTCATGTCTTTGCTTCGTCAATCTGAAATGATTGCCAAATTCACCTGCATGTGTTCTTATGTTCTCCTTGCTTACCTTGTAGTATACGGGAATCACCACGAGGTTCTTTTGCCTCACGCGCTCGTTCATCTCCTCAAGCTCGTCCAAGCACCACTCTGACTCAGCGTACCTTTTGGAAAAGATGGCCAGCGCGACGTTGGACTCTTGGATCCTAGTGATTCGATGTTGGGGCTCTCTTCCACTAAGCTCGTCTCTCTCTATGAAAATGCTGATCTTTTCTTTTCCCAGTTGCAACATGAGTGAATCTATGAAGGCTATGGGAAGCTCATCCCCCACGGAAATTCAAGAACACTTTACGTGGCTGTGGTGGTCGGGTCTGCACTCTCGGTGGTGGTCCTCCTTGTGGCGGTTGTTGACGTGGCATGGGACGTGGTGGGTTTAGTTGTGGTCGGCCCTGGTTCTCCATAGGTAGAGTCGTAGAGATAGAGTTTTTTTTCTTCTGATTAGTATTGGGAATCAATCCAAAGTCCCACATCCGAATAAACCAATATGGTTTAATATATAAATAATGTCCAACTCTAATTAGTATGAGACCTTTTGGGAAGAAGCCCAAAATCAAATCTGTGCGGGCTTTGTCAGTTGGGCTCAAAACAGACAATATCATACTAATTGGGGAGTTGGACATGAGCTTAGAAAAGCTCAATAAATGATATCAGCACCTAGGTCAAGGAAAAGTGGACCTGGAAAAGTGGGTTGGGTTAAATGTCCGTTGTGGGAAGAGAAATCCTCAAGATGACCTTGCGATTAAGGTCTTTGGCTTGAGGGGAAGATTGTTGGGAATCAATCCAAAGTCCCACATCGAAAGTTTAGACCAATATAGTCTAGTATATAAGTAATGTCCAACTCCAATTAGTATGAGGCATTTTGGGAAGAAGCCCAAAATCAAATCCGTGCGAGCTTTGTCAGTTGGGCTCAAAACGAACAATATCATACTAATTGGGAAGTTGAACATAGGCTTAGAAAAGCTCAATAATTAAGTGGTTTCATGTATTACCATAAGAGAAGCATACTATATATATATATATATCGTTGTTTGGTTTTGAGAGATTTTTCTTTTTGTCAAATAAAAATAGATTATCTAAAGTGCTCGACCTATTATCGCGGACGATGACAGAGCGCTTAACTAAACGCTATGCTATAGTTAGATAGCAGTTTTCACCCGTTACTAAAACCTGTTTTTCCTGTAGTATATGAAAAGGAAGAGACAAGCTAAACAAGTAAACGAGAGGAATCTGACCTCTAGCAATACAACTCAAAATATATTTTTAAGAGTTTTTCTTTTTGTTTTTAACGCAAGATTGGTTGGTTTGACACTAGTTGAGATGTACGTCAATTAAAAAATATGTGAAAAATACTAGTTAAGATTTAACAATTCTATTTGGAAAGTTGAAATGATATTATGTTTTACAATAATTTGAAAACTCCTGATAGGTTATACTTATTCTGCGTTAAGGAAGTTTTCTGAACTTCCAACTCAAAACCAATTGACAATAAGTGAATTGGCCCAAATCTCTTATATACTAGTATTAATTCCTTTAAACTTTTGATGTGGAATTTTTAACATTCTAGAAAAATTAATTGCGTGGTAAAAACTTGAATCACCAACTGGTTATAAAAATACTCCAGATTTAAGAAAATAGATAAAATTAACATAAATAATATGTTATACTATTATCAGGAAAAATATGTATGATACTAGGGACCCCATGATACTAATTAACAAATTACTTGAGTAATTCTTATTTGTTCTGTACTATGATCCCAGCGCAATATATAAATGTTAAATTGATAATTCTTTATTGCATTATTTAATCTTCGGAAAGCTCCATGAATCGCTGCCAAAGGCTCCTCTTTTTTTTTGGCCAAAAGTCTACTCCTCTTGAAGTCTTTCATTAGTAGATATGACCACTTGACACTTCCATACATGTTTCGTCTTAAACGTTGGAATAAAGAGGGTGGTACGTCATAAATATTGTATGGAACACAACCTTAATTAATGGACCCATGGTTGTTGTTCTTCTTAGTTAATTAGATAACCTAGGTTAACAACGAGGGCGGTACTACAAAAAATAATAATAATAATAAAAACAATAACGAAGGCGGTATTGGCTCCAGATCTCTTTTTTATTAGATGCAATGCAACCACTTGACCAATACTACTTATTTGATGGCTGTAACCCGTGTAAGATCCAAAATGTATAGGATGTTATTAGTATATGTATTGAAATCTATATAGCATTTGGCCAATGCAACCACTTGACCAATACAAAAATATACAATACTACTTTTTTGATGGGTGTAACCCGTGTAAGATCCAAAATGTATAGGATGTTTTTTGTATATGTATTGAAATCTATATAGCATTTGGAAGTCTTTGTAAGTTAGATCAATTTCAAAATGTAATATGTGTATTTTCATATAGTATTTGTAATTCGTTCAAAATAACCAAATAAAAAAATTGTGTTTGGTTTTTACCAAAAAAAAAGTAAAGAAAATTACGTAATAATCAAGCCACTAAATAACTAAACCATTAGCAGAGATACATCTGAACGATAGTAACCAATTACAACGGATGCGAAAAACAATCAAAAGTATATAGAGTTCAAGAAGAGTTCAAGTATTAATAAAATAAATAAAAAAAACTATCGATAAAAATATACATACATTTATTTACTAATTTATTTTATAATAAAAGAGTTTTTTCTCATCTTTTTTTTTACGGCAAACAATTTTCTTGATTTCAAATTAAGATTAAAAAGTTATACAAAACTTTTAGAATACAAATTATTATATGAGTAGATATATGCGCCATATAGTGAAAAAGATACAACAAAAGAAATAATTTTGACGAAGCTTTTCGTAGATAAGTCTTACTCGAATCATGAAATCCATTATTTTCTTCTTTGTATTTGATCTTAATCTGATGCGAAATATGTGTCGGTAGCATCTCTTGGTTAAACCTTTTGAATTACACACCGCATGACAAAACCTGATGCTTCCAATAATAATTTTGGAACTTCGACAATCTGATACCCATGCTTCCGTATCAAAGTCTTCTTAAGATATTTTGATTTCGTTGTTCTCTCTATCTAAAATCTAGAATGTCTACATTAGCAAACCCATAAATTAAAGCATATTTAAAATATGCATTTAGTATATATTATTAGTATATTTAGTATAAATTAGATGAAATATAAAAAAATATTATTGTAAATAAAAAAGTGAAATTAGATATTAATAGTTAAAAAATTAATAATAACTGGATGTAAAATATATATATTTTATTAAAAATGATATATTGTTAAAAACTGGAAAAAAGATTAAAAAAATGATGATGATTAAAAAAATTTGAAAAACGATGAAAAGAAATAAAAAAATAAGAGAAAGAAAAAAGAGGACACAAATAAAGATGAAGTATTAGAAAAATATATGTATATCAGATAAGTAAAAATAAGAGGCAAAACGTTAAAGATGAGGAATGAAAATGAAAGTTGATGAAGAAGAATGTTAGAAAATATGAAGACAAAAACGTTAAAGATGAGGAATGAAAATGAAAGATGAAGATAACAAACTATAAGAATATAACGATGAAAAATAAGAAAAAAAATCATAAAAAATAATAAGAAAACAAATAAAATTTTCGTGCTAAAAAATTTATAATAATAATTATTTTAAAGTAAAATTTTGCACCACGCGCGGGGCATCAGCCTTATTTTTTTAATAGTTAACTTTTGGAGAATTATGTAATTCATTGATAAATTTAAAAAATATTTTAATAAAAGTTATTTTAACATTGATTTATTTTTATAAGAACTGTTATATTGATAATTCTACAATTTTACAGTAGATAATTTTACCATCATATGTATATCCATGCTAAAAAGTTTGACTGCATCACGCTGTCTTTTACAAGTTATTTTTGTACGTACCTTTTAAATTAGATTTTAGATGCTTACCATATTAATTTTACTAAGCCTTAATGAATTTTTTAATAGTTGCTGTTTTTCAAATTTTATCTCGTTTCAGTTTTTTTGTTAAAGGATTAATTTCTTTTCGTTTGTGGTTTCTAGAAATTAAAAATCTCTTTTCAGTTTTGGTTTTTGTTTATAAATGGATAGTTGATTCAAAACAATTATCATTCTGAGAAACTAGCCTTTGGCTAGTGTGGTTGACTCTGAAGTAAACAGAGGGTTCAACTCGAGCTTTCTCAAAAGACACGTGAGACAAACATACGGGAGTCAGACTGTGTATAATAGTAATCAATTAATAACCACCAAGAAGGATAAAAGGCTCTTTTCACTTTACTCTATTATATCTTCTTCGATCCTCTCTTGTTCGAGTCTCTAACCAGAGAATAGAGATAGGGTTACTGAGAAAAACTCTGTAACCACAAGTTCTGGTCGAGATTTACAGAGTCCTCCGACCAGATGTAGGTCTCCAATCAGGAACCGAACTAGCTTAATCCATACAAAATCAGTAAGTTCGATCTTTTAGATTGTTCAATCCGATTCATTTTTGAGCTGGAGAAGAAGGATTAATCCGCGCACTAGTTGACCCAAGAACTTTCGGACGAAGGATTAATCTTCAGTTGATTGATCACCGAGGCTATACTAGCTTGCTTAGAGCTTTCGAGCCCTGAAGCATTTAGATCATAAAGTTCTCAATCTCTTGATAGATTATTGTGGAGGTTCATCAACTCCTGTGTCAGGTATGTTCTCTTTGAGGAAAATTGACGAAAACGGTAGCTGCTTGCTCATAGTCAAAAAAGTCAAGTAACAAAATGTTTAAAACAATATTATGTACACAACTAATTAAGGGGAATATTATTTACAGACTGTGAGCTTGAACAAAGGACTAGGGTTTGCTAGAGTAGATGATGTTTTACAAAGATTTATAACTACAAAGCCATATATGGTAGTACAGCATCAAAAGTAGAGGCCATGCTTGGCTGTGAAGTAAGACATTGCCAAGGGTTGATCAGAAATTCAGAAATGTCTCGGACGACTCTGTCCACCATTTCGATCGTAGAGTTCAGTGACTGCAGCCTCTGGTTTAGTTCAACGAGCTGAGCCCTAAGAATGCTTTGTTGATATTCGAAATCCTTGGAAACCACAACAGTCTGGTTCGAAATGTTGGAGTTTTCTTGCACTAGAAACCTCTCTCTTGATAGCTGCACCGGTTCTTGAGTGGCCGCATGATTAACTTGTAGTTGAAGCAGTTTCTCGACCTCCTTAACGATTTTTCTAACAAATTTACTTTCATCACTACAAAAAAAAAAACCAAAGTAAATATTTGTTAGACACTAATAGATTTTTGTTGCGTGGGGAAGGGGTTTTAAAAGACTATTACCTTTTCTTGTCAAAGATGAGGCCAATTTTGCTAGAAACCGAGGCTAATGCCTCTTTCCATCTCTTGATTCTGAGTTTATCACTCCGATATTTCCACTCACGATATCTGAATTGATCGCCGAATGTTCCCCGGAGTTGTTTCACAGTGACTGGCTCCACATTAAAGAAGATGGGAATGACCTTGAGCAAACCTTGATCTGCACGTTCCTTGATCTTCACTAGCTCGTCTAAGCACCAATTCGATTCCGTGTACCTCTTGGAGAATATGACCAAAGCGATGGTAGACTCCTCGATCCTCACAAAGAGATTGGTTAGATCTTCACCTTTCCTCTCGAGCGTGTCTATGAAAACGTTGATATGATGTCTTTGAAAAGCTTCCACGAGATGGCTGACAAAACCGCAACGCAGCTCCTCTCCCCGGAAACTGATGAACACCTGAGGCGGTTCCTGCAACGATGATTGGTGGTGGCTGTTGACTTCCATTGTATAGTAGATAGGGGGCAAGATGGCCTTGTTCGTGCGGCCTCTTTTAAGTGCTTTTAAGTGCTTCTAAATCTTTGTATTTTAAGTGCTTCTAGATCTTTGTAATTCCCTCGTAACGTAAGAATGTATTTTAAGTGACATCCCAAAATGGACGGTGGTGACTTTGCCAGTCATCATGTTATTCATTTGATCTAACGGTTGGAGATTTTGTACAATTTCTAAGATGTTTCTTCTAAGATGTTTTTCCCACGCGGTGTTCATGGCGGAAGACAAATGAAGAGATACATATATATGGATTGGGAAAAAAAGAAGAAAAATTGGGCCGTGATAGCAAGTGCATGCATATCCAAAGAGGAAAAACTATTTTTGATGTCTAAAGAAAAGGAAAAAAAAACAAGTGGAAACGAATGTCTTTTAAGTGCTTCTAGATCTTTGTAATTCCCTCGTAACGTAAGAATAACCAATAAATCTAATGTAATTGGCTCGGAAGGTAAAAATATTATTGATGCAGAATACTCATAATTTCATGATTTGTCAATCTTTTGGAAAGAATCCATCAAAAAAAAAAAAATCTATGAAAATGGTTGGATCATGTTGAATCTATGGGAAAGCTTCTGGATGAGACAAATGTCACTGACTCGGTGTGAGTCTGTTAAAAATGAATAGAACAATCGATACTAGGGAAAAACACATTTTTAATCGTCAAGATATAAATTACTAGTATTTTAAATTTCGAACCTTCACATTAAACAATCAAATTAATAAAACGCATACTTCCAATCATCGAAATAGTCCCCAATCTTATCAATACTGATATTTGATATGACACTTCTAAGCTCCAGGCATAAGGAGAAACTATTGTGGACATGTGACAAAAAAATGCACAAGGTACGTACTAAACCAACCATGCCATTAATAAAGCTAATAATGAGGAGAAGCAAATGACGTACAAGACAACGAACATATATTGCCATTTTTTTTGTTTTTTTTTTTGTTTTTAAGGTAGTAGAGAACACAATGATGTACAGCAAAACAGCATAATTACATGATCGCGAGTGATCAAGCATTAGGTGATGATCGTCTGTTTTGTTGTGCCAATGCACAATATAACTGGTGTAACACAACAATTGTTACCGGAAAACCTACTAACCACTTCACAGTCCTGAAAAATTTCACATCTGTGAAAACTAGACGAGCTATGAAGAGGCTAAAGAGAAAAGCCGCAAGAAAAGCAGAAACAAACACTTCTCTGATCGCCATTTTTGAATTGGAGTCATTGGATAACTCAAAAGGAAAGGAGGATTCCGGGTTCAAGGCCTTGTCTAGCTCTCTCTTGACCTCCTTAACGATGTTTGAGGCAAGAGGGATATTCGAGCTACAGAAACACGAGTCAGATAAATCGATGACACATGTACAATTAGACAAGAATGTTAATGTTGTATATCATTGTTTAAAAATTTGCTATGTAATGCTCGATCTACAAATATGTTATTTTCTTAGTTTTAACAAAAATATATAAAAAATTAGCATGAATTACTTATGTTCACAAGAGTTTTAATAATCTAAAATAAAATATCATACTACTTAAACAAATGTATATAGTAAAATAACATTAAAATTTATTAACTTTCAAACTTAAAACCAATTGATACCATCTCATTTCAGATGTGTAATTAAGAATATTAAAAAAATAAATCAACAGATAAACCATGTCGCTTGAAGAAGAAAAATTTAGAGATAATCTAATTGATAAATCGAGTAATTATCCGATTAATCACATAATCCATAATAGAGGTGATGATGGAAAATTGGAAATGTCATATGAATAATGGAATAACATAATAACATAAACACTTGAGCCAAAAAAACATTTTATTTGTTGAATAAAAAAAATGCTAATGAATGAGTTTTATTTTTTTAAAATATTTCTAAATCTTTTACATATGTAACGGGCTAATTTTTCAAGAACGTGAAAATAGCAAAATCACACGTTTTCCAAAAAAAAAGAAACAAAAGAAAATTAAGAAACTGGTATAATATTTCATCACCATGATGTAAACAAACACTTGATTGTGTAGTTTTTCTGCCGAGTAGTCAACAAACAATTGATTGTATCGTTTTGCTGCCGAGTATGAATATATGATTAATAAAAAAAAAATCGATTATTTTAGTTTCTTATTACCTGTGTGCTTCCCACGTCAAACTAGGCTCCATTCTTGAAATAGACGTCACCGAAGTTTCCCACCTTTGAGCCCTAAAAGGATCGTATTTGTATTCAACATATTTTTGTCTCATTTCCATGAATCGATCTCCAAACTCTCCCTCTAGGTTTCTCACGTCGTTCTTGCTCACGTTATAGAAGACAGGAATCACAAAGAGTCTGTTTTCGTTTACTCGTTCCTTCATCTTCACAAGCTCGTCCAAGCACCATTCTGTCTCTGGATAACACGAAGAGAAGATAGCGAGCGCGATTGTTGACTCCTCGATACAAGTGAAGACATGGCCTAGGTCTCTTCCCCACCATTCGTCTCTGTCTATGAAGATGTTGAGTATCCCTAACTCTGACAAGCCCCACACGAGGTGTCTCATGAAGTCATCGGGTAACTCGGTTGTGCCTGAATTAATAAACACTTGAGGTGGTCGTGCTCGTGCTCGTGCTCGTGTTGGATCCACCATTGTGCGTTCGTCAAAGGAGACTGAGACGATGTTGTTTCTTGGGTTTTTGAATTGCTTCTGAACTGAACGGATCTTGAAACAATTTCATATAGTATACGCGAAGACTTTGGGAACCTTTTTGCACACGAAATGATAAAAGTAAAATACTTTTGTGACGAATTTTTGATTTGTTATGTTTTTGTAACTTCCAGCTCATAACCAATAGAATATCATAAATGTTGGTGTTGTGAATCAGTCTCTGCCGGCAGAGTCAAAGCCCCTCGAAGTCTTTTGTAATATCTTAAGAAAAGTGATTTACTCTTTATTTGTTCACACCAAATTCTTTCGGGTGTTTTTTTTTCAGCTATATTATCTATTTCACTGAAAAATTTATTTCTAAAATTATGTTATTTATTTTCACTGATGATTTAGTTTTTTTTTATAAGAAATTCACACATTATAAAATACTGAATTAAAATTAATAAATAAGATTTGCCTTCAAATGTGTCTGCATTGGATGCTGGCATCCGATCGTGAAAAAGGAATTCAAGGGTCGGTGGCTCGGTGCTGGTGCATCGGATGGTGAAGAAAAAGTCTTGGGCCGATGCCAACCTTTTTTTTCTGCACTACTTGTCTTTCAAATCAGATGGATATGTCTTTTAGTAAATTGAGTGTATTTCTCAACAATTTTTGCAAATGACTCCAAACCAATTTGATGTGAAAACTAACTCAAATAATATCTTGGTGCGAAGATTCATCAGGGTAAAAAAAAAAAAAAAACAGAAGATTCATCAAGGTCAACCAACTGAAACATATCTAACAAAAGGTTTATTTCGGGTTATTTTGTGTTGTGAGTGACTTAATCAATTATTTTGATTTGGGAACATGGCAGGATGATAATTTGGTGCTCTTCAGCTTCATTATCCATCATTTGTGATGTTTTGACGTTTTGAACTGTAAAGATTATAAAGACTATAAACACTAAAAAAAAACTATTTCAAAAAGTTTGAAACCATATAAAGTAGATTATATATTAAAAAATATATGGAATCATGTAAAAGTGGATATAGCAGGTGAACATATAAACCAAATCAAATTGAAACTAACTTGCGCACCTCACTCTAATGAAAAGCTAGCATTACGTTTATTTGGTTATGCACTAAATTTATTTGTTTTTGCTTTAACTTGCACAGATTGTTCAATGACAAACCCCTACACCAATATTTTTATTAGTATTCTTCTTGCGTCTACTATACATATCATGCACATGTCGTGTAAAATCTGTATGGTTCAAGCTTTAGGTCCACCTGGTCTGACTAAATCACTTCTTAGTCCCCTTTTTGTTTCTGCACGTAAAATTTTTGTGATAAAATTTAGAGATTATGGAGAAGATTTTTCTTTCCTGCCATTTGGTTGTTGGTGGCAAATTATACACTGTTGGATTAAATGTAATCAAACTCACCAACAGCTAGAGCATTTGACTTTGAGACTTTGAGACTTTGACAGTCAGTTAGTGGTGCGGAATTTAAAGCAAGACAAAAGGAGTGGTGGAACTCCTTGGTTGGTCTTTGAATTTAATTGTGAAGACACTTGTTCATGATTTCTTGATTACCTGTTGGGTCTTTTTCCTTGAGTTCAGGTTGTGTGGTTCCAAAGCAACCATGGACAGTGTTACACAAGACTGAAAGGTGATTGATTTCATGGCTTTAGGTTTCTGAGCTTCATCGAAATTGTTGTCATCAACAACAAAATTTATATACTAAACAAAGATTAGATGACAAGTCTAGGGTTGAGGATTTCAAATGGAGCACTTGGTTGAGTAATATGGTGGTGGTTGGGAAGATGCTGGTAATACATGTAGAATGTTTAATACAGAGAAAAATCATAGTCATTTCGTATATTGAATTATTTTGTTTTCGATAACGTATTAAGTTGTTCATTTAGGAAAAGAAAGATTCAATAATGAAGGAAAGTAAATTGATATGTACTTACACCCCATGGAGAATTTGTAGATCTTTGTGTTGTGCTAGCTAGAGGAAGGTATGGTGACAAATGAATCCCATAGTTCTTTTCTGGTTAGTGTTTTTTCATTGAAAGTTGGATAGATGGTTCGGGAAAGCAGATAATGGGGAGATGCTACACTATGTTGTGGTACTTGTTACTGCATTATTATTGACACAAAATAGTAACTTTGGAGGGGTTTTAATTTCGAATTTCTTTATAGAAAAACGTATTAGTTGATAATCAAATTTTGGTTTAAGGATCTTTATTTGGTTTGGTTTAGTCTTTTACGGTTTCTTTTTGGTCTTTGTTAAGTCTTTATTTTTAAGCCCAAAAAAGAAGTAATCATGATTTAGAAGTGAATTTTAAATGTTTCTTTTACCCTATAATATTTGTCCTCGTGTCTTTAAGCCTAATTTTGGATAATGCTCTTTATTTTCTTTCTTTCATTTTCCAAGAAATATGGCAATTTTCCTTCCCCTTCTCTCTGTATTGAGATCTCTCTGAAATTTTCTTCAGATCTTCAAAGTCACATCCTTTTAACACCTTCTCAGCTTCATCTTCCTCAAATTTGTCACATTTCCCCTATTATCTGCAAACCCTAATTTCAACAATGGATCTCGCGGCGGAGGAGCTTCAATTTCTCAGCATCGGAGGTATATTGCGTGAATCCACCACGATCCCCAAATTTTCCCCCAAAACCTTCCACCTCATTACCCTAACCCTAATTTTCCCTCTCTCCTTCGCCATCCTCGCGCATTCCCTCTTCACACATCCCATCTTAGCTCAGCTCGACTCTACTCCTCCCTCAGATCAATCTCAGACCAACCACGAATGGACCCTTCTCTTCGTTTACCAATTTATCTACATCATCTTCCTCTTCGCCTTCTCTCTCCTCTCCACAGCCGCCGTCGTCTTCACCGTCGCGTCTCTCTACACGGGAAAGCCCGTTTCTTTCTCCTCCACAATGTCGGCGATTCCTCTGGTTTTGAAGCGTCTCTTCATCACTTTCCTATGGGTTTCTCTCTGTATGCTTGTGTACAACTCTGTTTTCTTGCTGTTCCTGGTGATTCTGATCATAGCCATCGATATCCAGAGCGTGATACTCACTGTTGTTTCGATGGTTGTGATTTTCGTTCTGTTCTTGGGTGTTCATGTTTATATGACCGCTTGGTGGCATTTAGCTAGTGTTGTCTCTGTTCTTGAACCCATTTATGGGATCGCTGCGATGAGGAAGAGCTACGAGTTGCTTAAAGGAAGGACTCATATGGCGTGTTCGATGGTTTTTATTTATCTTGCGCTTTGTAGCTTCACTGCTGGAGTTTTTGGAGGAGTGGTGGTTCGTGGAGGAGATGCTTTTGGGTTGTTTACGAGGATTGTTGTTGGTGGTTTCTTGGTTGGTGTTTTAGTGATAGTGAATCTTGTGGGGTTGCTTGTGCAGAGTGTGTTTTACTATGTCTGCAAAAGCTTTCACCATCAGGCGATTGATAAATCTGCGTTGCATGATCATCTCGGTGGTTATCTAGGTGATTATGTGCCTTTGAAGAGCAGCATTCAGATGGAGAACTTTGACATTTGAATCCATTAATGGATCAAATGAAGAAGAAGAAAGAAAAAAAAAAGAAGAAATGGTTTTTGCAGTTTGTCATTGTAAGTTATAATGTTTGTAATTTTTCATAGTGTTTGTTTTAGCTTTGCATATCTAAATTAATTTGTGGGAATAGACTGATACAGCAGATGTAATTTTTCACAGTGTTTTGTTCAAAACTGAAAGATTAATGGAATAAAATTGTTACTTGATATGAAGCAAATGTTGTAGTGTTTTTTCCCGGCATCCGGTTTCTCTATGATGTTATGTTTGAGTTCAAGCACTGCCTTTTGAGCTCTGTAAACCATCTTTGGAAATTGAATTGTTGATTTAGAAAAGTGCTTGTGACATTGTCACATTGATTTTTCCTCCAGCCTTTTCTCTTGCTAATTTATAGGTTTTGCATATTCAGTTGTATCTTCTCTTTCTAGAGCCTTACTATTGTCTTTTAAGTTATTCACAAAGAAAAAAACTCAGCTACGTTTCAATACCTATATCACTATCATGTCTCAAGCTGTCTGTAATATCAAAAATGTGTAACGAGCATCTGACTCTCTCAAGTTCCCTCTTTGTTGACTTAACTGCTTATTTAGCGACAATGGATGAGATTGAGAGTCCTTCTTGACTTTTCCCTTCAAAATTCCTCTCTGTTGCTTTCACGAGACAAGCTTCTTGCTTTTGGTCTCCTCGGCAAGACTAGAACGCCCCAGAGACAGTTCTTGAAGGTAATCCATCTTTTCTCCTTTGACTCTGTCACACTCAATGGATATGAAGAGCAGTATGCTCAAACTTAGTTGGCTAATTCGAAACGTGATTCTTGACATCTAATTTGCAATGTAACATAAGCTGCAAGATCATCTGGAGCTATATTTAGAGAACCTCACAAACGCTCTGCCATTGGAAAGGAATTTTTTTGCACAGAACCGGTCAGGAAGCTATGAGAGTGGATATTGCAGGACCAAGCACATCCTCACCCGTGGAAGAGATGAATACCTAAATCTCTGAGTTCCTCTGTATCAAGCTGCTTTGAAAGGTAAATGGATACAGGTCAAGGGAATACTACTTTCTGTAATAATACTTGACAGCAAGGTAATTCACATTGCTGCTACTACCAAGCACAAGAGCTTTGTGAAACATCTGCTTACAGGAATGATCATTTTCATCTTTGAAGAAAAGCACATTTTCATCTTAATATGATCCTTTTAAAGCAATTATTGTATTCCTCTTTCTAGGATGTTGTGTTTGAATCTCGTGTATTGGATTCTTTGTGTAGACAAGTGAGGAAAAAAAATCACAAAGAATATTTTCATCACTATTCTGCCTTAGAGGTGTGAGAAGTTAATATCTTGAAAATATAGAGATGTGATTCTCTGTGTCAAAATGATAACGACATACGAGTAGCAATACAAACTTTCATTTGAAAAGAAGCTGAGATGCTTTCGAAACTCTAGGAATAGATTTCAGTTCCTCCATAATGTTCTGTTTATCTTCAAGATTGTATCTAAGGGTGATTTTCGCTCTCTCTAAACACTTAGAGTTCGCTAGGATGTATGTCACAAATTCTTTTTCTTCTACTCTTCCTTCATATCCTTCCATCCACTCAAAGATCTTGAGATGGCAAGACAAACAACCGGGAACTGAAGTCGGTTGGTTCCATGAAAGTGAGAGATCTTTGGGTTGATCGATATATACCTGAGAAGCAACGAGCACCATATATGAAGCGAATTTTTAACTAGTTTTTTAGTCCATCAAAATTAGAAGAGGAGGAGGAGGATACACACATAATCAACCAAAAGATATTTTAGGTTTGGAGAATTTCCAAGTAAAAGTATGAGTGGTTCCAACCAGTCTGATTCATCTGGACATATATGTAACTTCACAAGTCGAGAGAAGTTGATAGTGCTACAACATTGAAGCTGCGATCAAACAAACAAAACGTAAGTTGATGCAAAAATGTGATCACAAGCAATGAGAGAGAGAGAGAGAGAGAGAGAGAGAGAGAGAGAGAGAGAGAGAGAGAGAGATACCGTTATATCATCAAAACACAACTCGAGAGTCAAGACCGAGGAAAGACATCTTAGAAACTTGTCATGGTCATAGCAATTAATACTAAAACTGATAGCTGCACTATCAAGACAAGGCATATTCTCGATGGAGCAATGGTCTACCGACAAATAAGAGATGCTAAGGTGCTTTAATGCCGGGGTATCTATAACCAAACACCTAGTATACTCATAATGACAGCTATAATACGAGAAGAACAATAAAGAAGGCACTTTCACACAAAACTTTGCCACATTGTCCGCCTTCTTTCGTTTCACAAGCAGTTTCTCAAGAACAGGGCAGCTCGATAAGAACCTAACGAGAGAAACCTCGTCTTTATAAACCACAGAACTTAAACATAGCGTTTTGAGGGATGGGAGGCAACCGAGAGAAGGAAAATCTATGAAAATTTTGTGGCAAAGTTTCAAGCTTATAAGCGTGTCGCAGGTATAAAGACTATTAGGCAAGCTAATAAGATTTCCAGACCAGAGGAGCTTGAATTCTAGCTCACGCACGACACGATCAAAAACCTTTGCAACCAACTTTTCGACATCAACATCAGTAGCAGGACAAAGTGGACCGAGTTTGACACACAAGCTGTCTATTACAGGTGCCTTGTGAAGTTTCAGTGACTCGTAAAGAAACCAGTAAACGCTCTTCCTTCTAGGCCAGCGCAAACGACATATGCTTTTGCTTTCTTTGTACTCAATTTTAGGCATCATAGTCCATACAAAACGCCATCGTTTCGACAAAACCATGGTGGCCATTGCATCTTTAGTCGGTATATGCAATAGAATCCGTAGGAGCAAATCGTCGGACAACTCACTGATCTTGTCTTCACAAACATCTTCTGGCATTATAAGATCTTTGCTCTGTGGAACAGAACAGACGAAAATAACAAGCAAGAGACCTTTTTGTTGTGAAATCGCTAGAAAATAACAAGAAGAAATTTGAAAGCTTGAAAGAAAGTGAATTGAGGCAGCAAATAACGTCTAGGGTAACTTTTGTTAATGTGTGAATGAATGTTTCCAAACCCTTATAACTCAATTTATAAGCAACCCTAGTTATGTATTCCGAAACTTTTGTTTTTTACTCATACGTTTTAGTTGTCAAAATTTATATTTTCTATTTCTTATAAATTTTACACATCGGACATGTTTAAGTCAGACGGTTTAGGCCCAGCCACCAAAAGCCAGATCCGTTTGATTTAATTTTATTTTATTTACCATTTTAAGTCAAACTACGCAGAAAATTGGTAAAAAAAAAATTGCAATAGCACTAGCACATGATAATCCGGTAACCAAGGCATGGCTAATACAGTCTAGTTACTAATTTATTCCTCGTTACTCGACCACATTACAAGCAAAGTACTCACATTTTCTTAAATTATGAGTTAATTGTTAGTATTGACTTTTTTTTTTTGTTGAATTAATTATTTACACGTACGACAATTCTTAGATATTTTCTAGAGGTTACTTCATTTAAGATACAGCTAAAACATGAATATAACGGGAGTTAACTACAAACATACGATCCTGGTTTGGCTTCTGGTGCATGATGTCAACCACAAAACGTAGGAAATTGAGTCTAATGTGCTAAAGTAGGATTATAAACACAAGCATTCTAATCAATATTTTTTTGTCCACTATCCAACAATGACTAATTTATAAGACATTGTATAATAACTGAAAATAAAAAATAGTTTACGAGAGAAATAAAAGGGAGCTAAGTGTGCTCGCCAAAGAATAAGTCAATCAAACCATGAAGAGCATGAGCACCGACTCTTCTTCTTTTTCCGGCTACGACTTGGCTAGTCCTGGAGGCAGCAGCGGCAGAGCCAAGCCACGGTCTATTGGTTCTGACGGTTCGACGGGCCAAAGAGATGTGATAAGAGTCGTGTTGTTGCTCACAACCGTTGCACTTTCTTGTCTTTTGGTCTATCAATCTATTGATAAGCCTGTCCAAGTGATGTTGCCTCAATGGAAAACCAATTGGTATTCACAAAACGAAACTTCTTCAAAACAGGTAATTTCCTTCATTATTTGGTTATCAATATACATTTCACCGAACTTCAACATTTGAGTGGTGTGACACAACAACAACATAAATACGTACAAACTATTAGAATACATGAAATATTCAAACCGTAACTTCCTCATACGTTGAATCCTAGCTATATTGATATGGTGTTATGTATATATAGATACAACAAACAAAACCGGTTTCAGAGCTAGAGAGAGTACTGATCAGCGCCGCTATGGAGGACAACACGGTAATCATAACGGCGTTAAACAATGCCTGGACGGCTCCAAACTCCACGTTTGATTTGTTTCTAGAGAGTTTTCGGACTGGACTAGGGACCGAAAGGTTACTGAAACATGTGATTGCAGTTTGCTTGGACAGCAAGGCATATGACCGTTGTTTACAGCTTCATCCTAATTGCTACTTAATCAATGCCACTGATTCTGATGAGCTCTCGGGAAGAAACAAGTTCATGTCTCCCGGTTACTTGAAACTCATTTGGCGGCGAATGGATCTGCTAAGGGAAGTTCTCGGTTTTGGCTATAACTTCCTATTCACGGTACGCAATACAATACGTTAATAGTCTCACTAGTTTAATACGTAGTATGATTTAGAAAAGAGTGGATATTAAAGACTACTTAGAGTTCGGGGCTTCAAACCTAAGCTATGCTTTTATTATTTAGTTTTTCTTATATGCTTTTCTCGGTCAATTAGCTTATAAACTATAACTTTATAACTCCAATTCTATTATTGATGTTAGCTGGATCGGTTTAAATTCACATGGCTAATGATATTATTTATTCTTTATTGAACACAGGATGCAGATATCTTATGGCTCCGGGATCCATTTCCCCGGTTCTTTTCCAACATTGATTTCCAAATATCTTGTGATGACTACAACGGAAAACCTTCTGACAAAAGCAATCACGTGAACTCCGGATTCACATATGTCAAGGCCAACAATAAAACCATAAAGTTCTACGATTATTGGTGCGAATCGAGCAAGAGATTCCCTAGAAGACACGACCAAGATGTTTTCAACTCCATCAAGAACGAACCATTTGTTGTGGAACTCGGGATCACGATGAGGTTCTTGGACACAGTTTACTTCGGTGGGTTTTGTGAGCCGAGCCGAGACATCAACGTGGTTAATACAATGCATGCAAATTGTTGTGTTGGTTTGGACAACAAAGTGAAGAATCTTAAATCCGCTCTTGAGGATTGGAAGCGATATTTGTTGGTGAATACGACGGTGACCGAGACTAAGTGGAATATTCCACCAAGATGTGGTTATTAGAGGCTGAGAATCTACAAGGTCACAAATAACATCATTTCATATAAATTATTTATGTTCTATTCAAGTACGGTTGTGTATCTTTTTTACAAATCTTAAACATGGAAAGTCAGATTGGTATTGTTGTTGATGGAGATAAAATAAACTAATGTTCCGAAATTCGTTAGTCATTTATCTGACGTTTGTAAAAGACCTATTGCCTAGCTAGTTAGTGAGATTAATTTTTCAGTGTTATATATTTCGATGTTTCAGATTTATAATTTACAAATAATATATCTGAAATATAACACTTAAAAAAAGTGTTTTTTTTCATTTTGGTTTGGCTCATAATGGACATCAATAATAATAATATACATGGAGAAGCACATACCCGACTTGTCTAATCCAATGTATAGGCAAACAAGTTCGTAATAGTCTAACATCTATACAAAGTTTGGGAGATAGAAAATACGAGGAAAGAATGCAAACTTGGTTGGCTACATAAATTCAAATTTGTCTTTTGGTCTTCATAGGTAGAAAACTTTCAAATTTTAGCAACATGCTATATTCATTGTACAATTGTTTTAAAAATAATTTTACATTCAATTTGGAAAAAAGACATCCATAATGTATAAAATAATGCAATTTTTTTACATATACAATCTTATTTTAATTATAAAATCTAAATTTAATATACTATATTAATCTACAATTTTTTACCTATACAATTTTTAATTTGATCAATTGGAGAGTTTTTAAATTTATATTTCTTCAAATTTAACTCAATATATAATAATCAATGTAAGAATCAGAATAAAATTAATGAAATACATTAAGTTTATACTTATCAATCTATTTATAAAAAATTAATAGTCTCAAATTTTATTTTAGATTATTATCTATATGCCAAAACCTACTAAATTATTATACTTTCAATTTTAATGTCTATTTGCTTACATAAAAATGTATAAGTTATAACTTCAATTAGATCACAATATGCATTTGGTTCTATATATGAATTTTCCAATGTGTATTTTATTTATTTTCCCTTGATTTCTTTATTTTTTACCTTGTATTCTTTATTTTTTCCTCTTTTTAGTTCTATTTTTCATTTTCATTTCCATTTTCATATTCTGATTATTTTTTCTAAATCTCATATAATAAGATAGACAATCTGATATAATACGATAGATAATATCTCTTACATGCACAACAAATATTCATACAGTTTTAGGAATAAAATATGTGAAGTTTAAATCTACATTCATGATCTGTAATTGTATAAATACACAAACACATACTACCTTACATTCAATCATCTATCATCATCAAACATACTACCTTACGCATACAATCATCTATCATCATCACAAAATGGTACATATTAAATCAAATAAAGTTTCTCTTTAACTGAAAATGTTATATTTCCTTGTAATAATATTGCTCTCGGATGTTGTAGGAAATCATACTACGTGCTCTGTTCGTGTTGATTTTAATCCATTTTGGTCTTGTAAACGGCCAAATCTTTGATGTGCTTAAATATGGTGCTAAGGGTGATGGTACTACCGATGATTCAAAGGTATTGTTATATTGCAAAAGAAAAATATATATTTCGCTCCCATTATGAGACCATCCGAATTTTGTAATTAAGAAAACGGATTATGACACGATTTTTCAGTATCTTCATAAGGTTGTTTAAGTTTTATAAGAAGAGCTGAGTATACCAAGCGATAAAGTTTCACATCACAAATTTGTTATTAAACGAAAGTTATGACATTGAGATTTCGATATCTTCACCTATAGCCATCTCATCTTATTTGACGTTTATATGGAATTTTTTATCAAGCATATAGTTGAACCAAAAAAAAGCATATTTAATGTAGACAGAAGGATTATATAGTACCCACACATTATTTTCTTGTAGTAAAAATAAATTTTGAATTGGAATCATATATATTCAATTACAGCAGTTGAAAGTGCTAAAAGACTGATCATGTTTCACAAGCTTGTAAAGAGCGCATTATTTTACAAGACTCTATTATAATTGGAATCATATTCAATTACAGTAGATGTCATGAAATTTTTCATCAAACATATCCCCCAAAATCATTTACTACTGTATATAAAACAAGTTGTTGCAATCAAACCACTATATTTTCAAATTCTAGCCAACATTTGATTATGCATCACTATTATTTATTATTTATTATTATATATTCCTACAAGTACATCTTAAGTTTGTTACAAAATTTTAGTTATTTTTCTACTAACTCTTATAAATTTAACCCTTCTTTTTTGCAAAAAAAAAGGCTTTTGTTGACGCATGGAAAGCTGTGTGTGGTAACGGTGGGAATAATAAAACACTCCTTATTCCTTCAGATAATACATTTTTACTACAACCTATAGTGTTTCAAGGCCCTTGTAAATCGCCTTCTGTACAAGTTCAGGTAACATCATCGAAATAATTTTTTTTCTTTCTAATTTTTAGATCGGTTTACAAAATTTCGCGGTGAAAAACATATGACATAACCTTTTATGTGTGGCTATGAAATGTATATGTGATCAATTTTGCAGTTTAATGGAAATATCGTTGCCCCTAAGAGTAAAGCAGAATGGTCAGATTATAAGAACTTATCATGGGTTGGTTTTAAGGACATAATTGGTTTGACGGTCACTGGTTCGGGAACAATCAATGGACGTGGTTCTTCTTTCTGGAAGGTGAAATTTTTTCATATATACTAGAAGAGATGAAAATATTTGTATAGTATGATTCTAATAGTTTTTGTTTGTCATATTCAATATATCCAGCCAAAATTGCCAGCTTCTAAACGGCCTTCTGTAAGTATATATCTTACTCTATATCTTTTCCCCACTAAATTGACTCTTAATTCTATAATGAAACGATGAAAAGCTCATGAAGAAAGTCTTATCTATTTTACTTGTAGCAATTGCATTTTCGAAAATGCAATAATCTCCATATAAATGGAATAACCTCAGTCAATAGCCCAAAAAACCATATTTCGATCAACCAATGCAAAAACGTTGAAATATCGAACATAAGGCTTATTGCTCCCGATGAGAGTCCTAACACCGATGGAATTAATCTCTCAATATCAAGCGATGTAAATATATTCGACACTGTCATTGAAACTGGTATGTGGTTTCTCTCTTTTTAAAACCATTAAATTTTCAATCTGAAAATGGTATAATGGTTATTTGAATTTTAATTTCTTAAAACTTTTCAGGAGATGATTGTGTAGCTCTAAACAATGGAAGTGTAAATATCAACATCACAAGGATGACTTGTGGTCCTGGGCATGGAATAAGGTATATATATTTTATATTAGTCAATAAATTAATTATTTTCTTGGATTCTAAAATGAATATTTTTCTTTATCTTTATTATAATTAAACTACAGTGTGGGGAGTCTAGGAAGAGATGGAGAAGAATCTATGGTTGAGAACGTCCAAGTAACTGATTGCACTTTCAATAGGTCTGATAATGGAGCTAGAATTAAAACATGGCCGGTAATGATTTTTTTTGTTTATATAAAAACTAAACGAAGTGTTTATAGAGATGTGGTTATCTTTATTAATTTATAATTGATTTGATTATTTAGAATGGAAAAGGATATGCAAGAAATATAGTTTTTAAGGGCATCAACCTCATCGAAACAAAAAATCCGATTATAATCGACCAAAATTATGTTGACAAGGGGCGTCTCGATGTGGAGGTAAGATAATTAATCTCCTTTTTTGTGAAATATAATTAAGTTTCGAAACTGTGATTAGGTTGATCTTAATTTTTTTGTATAATTTGTCTGCTATAGGAATCAGCAGTGGCAATTAGCAACATAACATTCGCAGATATCCATGGAACATCAAAACGCGATGAGATTGTTAAAATAGATTGCAGCAAAGTCACATATTGCAAAGACATCGTTCTAGAGCAAATCGATATTAGTACGGTTGATGGAAATAAGCCCGTAGTTGAATGCATTAACGTATATGGAAAGGCGAACAATGCTAGCGAGATTGTTGGTTGCTTCAAGGAGCAGTAATCTATTTTTATGGAATAATCAATTTAATTTATTTATAATGAATAGTTTCAGCAGATGTATGAATGTATTACTGCTCGACTATTATATACTAATTATTGAATAAATTGAATAAATTAATTCCATATGTTAGAACATGTCGGTGTACTCATCATGGTTGATGTGATCATCCAAACCAATGCCGTTTTTCATGTGTCAAAACTCAAAAATTTAACAGAATATTGCATAAATTTATCTATTCTATTAAAACAGAAGCACATTTAATGTTTGCATCCAAACATTCCCAAAGTTTTTTTAATAATATTTTATTTTATTTTTATATTTAATTTCCGAAAATTAGTTATTAATTTAAATATTTTTAAATTTTCTAAAATCTAGGTCATCTTTAATTTAAATTTCAAATTATTAGAAAGTAGTGTTTACCCCGTGCCTAGCACGGGAATATTCTTTTCCTAACAATTAACCGATTTCAATTATTGTTAATTTTTTTCACAAAACCAAATTTCAGTTATATAAACACAACTAAAATTATCTGTATAAAACTTATCCAAATGAAATAAATGTAAACATACAAAAATATTAGCATGTGAGAAAAACATCATTCTACAAAAGCAAATGAAATCAAGAATCATTACATAACAGTGGAAAATAATTTAAGTAATCAATAACTACTTTATGTTAAAAAATTTCTAAGTACAAAATAAGGTTATACAGATTCCGTACTGAATGGTTATGGCTTTATGAGTTCGAGACATTACATTTCTCATAGTATAGTATCTTTCTGAATTTAGTGAAGATGATCTCTAGGAACACATATACTTGCAGCTTAACTACAACATCAACAACACAACACACTGGAAGTAATAATGACTCGGGAGGTTCCAGACCAAAACATATAGCAAGATCCAAAAATGATTTTAAAAATGATAAAGAGATATCCGGACTTACTCTTGGTGAAGGAAGTCCAGAGTTTCATATTACTCTTAGTGATCAATGACACGTTACAATTAAAATTACTTTCATAACTCACCTGGAAATTATAAGTTGAATATCCAATGGCTTTCAAGCTTTTCATCTTCCATTTTGTTTAGAAAGCTTGAGTTGGGAAACATGAGTATAATTCAATGATATCTTCAAATTTTTTCCTGCAAAAAAGAAGTCACATGTATTTTAGGTGAATATGTATATATATGATGAAAACTAAAAAAGTAACCTGCATAGAAGAAACCGTAGAACAGATTACAACAGGGAAGTACACTGCATAAAGTCTTCTCAATCCCTCTACGGATGATTAAAAGAAAAGTGACTAATGTCAGCTAAAGCAGAGAACACAGAGAGAACTCAAAAAACTCCATAAACCAGAAATACATTAATCAGAAGACAGTAAGGAATAAAGATTCGAAAGTTCTCACATTTTCAGCCACTAAGAAAGCAGAGTAAAACCCAACACCAAACTGTCCAATCTATCCGTTGTCGGCACCAAGGTCCTTCTTTTCCTGAATAAATAGACACATCAAAACACGTCTAAGAACCTGACATGGAGTTTGATTTGTTTGCATCTAATTTTTCAGAGAGGTGAAAAAGAAAAAAGAAAAAAAAAAGACCTTTAGAGCCTTCAAGAATTTCGAAGTGCCACTCTGAGCTATGGTTCCAAGGCTATCTAGAAGTTATTCCTTTGTCATTCCAATACCAGTATCACTGCAAATCCGAAACAATCTTTTTTAAGTAACCAGTTTTAATCTAATTATTTAATTTAATACTCAACTGAAAAAGAAAATGAGAATTCTCTAATTATGTTATGGTGATTATCAGGATCAGGCTTGATACGAATCTCAAGCTCACCACCATCTCCAAGCAAAGCAGGCTCCGTTACATTTAAGAACCTCAGCTTATCCAAAGAATCACTTGCGTTACTGAGTACAGACAAACACATCCAAATCAGAATTTGACAGAAAACGACACAATTCAATTCCAAAATAATCCATTAGTAACACAAATGAAAACTGACTCACCTTAAAGTTCCTTGAGGACTACCTCTTGTGACTGTATAAACAATGAACAATCAAATCCAACAATCGGCTAACCTGCTAATGAGATTCAAACAAAACTATCCAATTAAGAGTCTTGACAACAACAACAACAAACATAAAGTTTCAAATTTTTTTTAATCTTGTGAGAGATTAATGATCTTCTTTGCCATCATTCGATCAATCTTTAAATCCACTGATTGGTGCTTTAACAACCGAGCAAACCCAAAAACGAAAGTAGGAGGCGATACAGACATAGAAGAAGAGGTACCATCGGATTCATCAACGTCAATGGAAGGAACGTTGGGAGGAATCTGCAGATCGCGTAAGCGAAGGCGAGAACAAACCGCAGCCACCAGATTTCTTCAATTAGATTTCTTCATTGGAATTGGTGGAATTCGAAGAGAAATAGGGGTAAGAACCAGCCACGGAATAGAAAAAAACTGGCATAGATCTCTTTTTATTTTTATTTTATCAACAACTGGCATAGATCTTTTTCTGCAGTTAAACGGAAAAAAAGGAAATCGTGGAGGAAGAAGAAAGATCATGGACAGGAAGATGAAAAATCGTGGTTTTTGGAGAAACCGTCGATTCACTTTTTTTTTTCTTTAGAAATTATCATTTTAATTTATTTTTTAAAGAAATTGTAAAAAACAACTGTACTTTTTTTTTAACGATTTTTTTTTTAAATCATTTATTAACTAAAGCACATGACACGTGGCATATTTTGATTCGCCAGATAATAGTTAATAAAGAATTTAATTAAATTTCAAATTATTAGAAATTTAATTAAATTTAGTTACAAAATTTTGCATTTAATTTAATTTAAATTCAAAAAATTCAAAAAAATTATAATTAAATTTTATTACAAAAATTTAGATAATAATTTTAATACTTTAGAATTTCTTAAATACAGGAAAGATTTAATTTAAAATTTAAAATTTAAATAATATTTTTATAAAAATGCATAGTAAATAAATATTTTATCGTATTTTATCATAAACAATCGGTCTAAAATATCAAATATTTGAGATTAATAAATATTTATATTATACAATAATATGATCGAATTGATTAGAGTTATATATATATATATATATATATATATATATATTTAAGGTTCATTAGTTAATTTATTACAACATGTAAGATATTAAGATGATTTGAGATAATTAAACTAACAGGTTAGCCCGTTTATATATATATATATATATATATTTTTTTTTTTAATAGCATAAATAGTAAATAAATATCTTATTATATTTTTTCATAATCAATTGATCCAAATATTCCATATTAGTAAATATTTATAGGGTTATACAATTATAATTATAGTTTTATACGGGTTAGTTTGTCAAAACATGTAAGATATTAAAAATAATTTAAGACAACTAAACGGATGGATTAGCAAATTCATAGATATATAGATTGTTTATGTGTAAATCTAAATTCACATAATAACAAAGTTTATAATTAACAGTAGATCAATATATACTTAATTAACGTATACTCTTATTCTACTAATATACAAATTTTACTGTTTAAAATTAAATATAATAACAATTTTTTAATTTAAAAAATAAATAACAAAAATAAATTATATCTAAACAAAAAAGATAAATGCAACTTATATTAGAAATAAAAAATAAAATATTCTCGTGCGGACGCACGGGGTTAAAATCTAGTTAATACAATTAATTCTGCTTCACCTTTTTAGGGTCCGTTTCTATAAAAACATACAATATAAATATTTGTTATAAGTAAGTGCAATACATCCTATATATTAAATGAAAATGTAATTTATTGAAAAATTCCTAGATGTTTTAATTTGATTGGCTTAAAAACGGTCTTTACTTATGTCAATGATAACGTTTATTCTACTTCAAATGTGACATGACAAGGACGCTGATATGCTGAATTCTGATTGGTTCCTGTTTAATGAGAAAAAATAATCAGATTAATTATATTAATATTTATTAATTAAAAAAACGGATAAACACGTGAATCTTTTGACTCGACCCATTAAAAACACGCAGATCTTTTATACCCGATCCATATAATTCGAATTTTTATTATTTTAGAAAGTATTTAGTTAATTGTAAATATATTCAAAAATTCAAATTCTCCATTAAATTTGGAATAATCAAATTAATGCAAATCTCAGAAAAATTCTAAACAATAAATAAGATATTAAGATTGAATAAATTTAAAATTAAATAAATATATTAGATTTTCTTTTACCACCATCCCTATTTAATTTTAAAATTTATGCATTTATTAATTAAAATTAGTTTTATAGTTAAATAAATTAAAAACAATAATTAAATATTTGCAAGTTTGGCTCTGAAATTTTAAAATTTAGTATAAACAAAAATAATATAAAAAATATCTTTTTGCTTGCTTACTTTTATCATGTTCGAATTTGTTTATTTGGTAATGATTGTAATTTAGTTTAGTTTTTATATAAGCAAATATAATATTGTTTTCATTGATTTTATTGTTGAGGTTAGGGTACAACAAGTATAGTCATGGGGAGGGCAAACAAGTATATGTACTATTGTTTTGGTAACTTGGAAAATCTTGTTTCATTTATAATGTACGGTATGGTATGTCCCTCAAAAAACAAAATAAAAAACAAAAAACAAAAAACCAAGAATTAGCAAAACTGTGAGGTAAATAGAATTGGTCTGAAACTGCTAAAGAAAAGGAAGATCATGAGGAGCTAGGAATGTGGGCTGAATCAAGTCGAATGTAAGGTTCGGCGACCACAAGTGTACAGAGCATCTTACTGATTCACTGTTCACATAATGATTAGTTTTATATTTGAATTACATATAATGATAAAGAAGAAAGATTCAAAATTTGGTTATATTGACGAATAGTTAGTAAGGTGACAAAAAAAAGAGAGTTGAATTGAGACATTGGGTTGATGTACAATTCCTTACTTACAATCCATTAAATTTCGTAATTTTTAGAAAGT